AGAGGTTAAAAAGAGCTTAATAGAGGGTCATGAAAGATAGAATATTTGAAAACAATGATTAGTTAAAAATACGGCAGAGAAAGTTTCTTGGTGATCAGTATTTACTCCAGAGCAAAAAAACTCTCAAAGCAGCTTAACATAGAAGTTCTAGTAAATTGAAACTGTGTCAGTCTAGTTTTCAAAGTTGAAGTTCAGTTTAGTTTAGTTCAGTGTCAAACACTGAAGAGCAAGTCCAAGGATGTGCTGTGACAATATTTGACTGTACTCACGTGATGAAATCCATGAAGCTGGCCAGAGGCTCGTAAGACTGGTTCCTCATATGGCGGAACTCAACCACCATCTTCTCTTTCAGCTTGTCATCAATGACAGAGACAGTAAGAGGGGAGGCTTCATTGGCCAGGAAGCTTCCATAGTCAGTGCTCTGCAAGTGAAGCTTCAGGTCTGAAGAGCAAATTATGTAACATTTAAAATAATAATAATAATATATTTTTAAAAATGTTTTAAGTTTAAACTCAAATCCTTACTTGTCAATACTAAAGGATTATGTTCTCGAATTGAAGTGACAAAACAAAAGTTCTAAATGACACTTGCCACTGATTCACTGAAACCTTTAATATAAAATTTAAAAAAATGTATAGTATAGCAAATCCCAAAAAAAGTTATTCGTTCTTGTAAATTATAGACATGCAATGGAAAACAAGTACATTAATTCTATATAAAGGACTAGGTTTTCAAAGTGATTTCTATATTAATCACAAAAACGTTTTTACACAATTTCCAGTTCCCTAAATCACAGGCAAAAAATTCCAAATGAGTCACTTGATTCTTAAAGACAGAAACACATTTTTTTTTGACAAAAAAGCTAAATAATCTACATTACCTACATTTACAAGAGAACAAATTTAAAATGCAAACAAAAAAAGGCAAACAGTGATATCAAAACCTGTTTGCGGGAGAATCTACTGTCCTACATAAATTACGTCATGACATCACATGACAAGTACCTCCATGAATTAAATCAGTAGGTTTTCACTTGTATAAATAAATAAAACATTAACCGTTTGTTTATACCACTGCTATAAAACACTCAAACTGTATTAAAGATGTGCCTTGACCATTTAAATGTGACGTTGAAATCAGACCCTTTAACATCTTGGTAACCCCATGACTCCGTCATGTTAAACTGAGACCTTCGATTAATACAACACACACAGTAATTAAAATGAGGTCGTCGTTTGTATGCCTTATGTGCGATCATGTAACGTAAAATGAACTCGTGAAAGGTCATCAGAAAAATGAAGCTAACGTAATAGCAACTTAGTCTGTCAGCATCACAGTTAAGTTAGCATAGAAACGTTATTTTACACTTCTTTAAACAGAGTATGGTTTTCAACAAAACATAAAGATCACAGGACTTATGCATGTTTACTTAGAAATGAGACAGAGAAAGATTAAGGATGTTATGTTAATGTTCTAAATTATTTGAGAATAGTAATCTGGATGATATGTGCTAGCTAAGGAAACAAGCTAACTCACATTAGCTGTGTAACATCTAACGCTAATAAGTTATAACCGACGGATGTTACCACATCAGTGATAAAATACCTTTTTGAATCGTTAAACAATTGTACACATAAATGCCGGGAATAAAAATGTAAAAATGACAGAGATGAGCTAACGCAACGTTAGCAGCCAACATACACCTTCGACTCACCTTCCAGAGTTTCACACTGAACGAGGTTCAAATAATCCGCCTGAGATAAAATGCCAGCCTTAAAACCTCTCACCAGCCCCTCTAGATAACCATTATCAACATTAAAATATAATTCAGAGAAAGGCATGGTGAAAAATTGGTCTGTTAGTTAAAGAGAACGATATCTGCTGCTCTGTAACGCAGTGCTGAATGAACCTGCTGTCCGAATCGCCAATGAATCATTCTTCAGAGTCGGATCTTTTTAAATTTCACAAAACAGCTCTGGACCCATGGTCTGGACGGTTTGGTGAACAGTGCTACAAATAGAATTCCATGAGTGTTTACAGCTGTTTGTAGCAGTTTAAAAATATTTTATACAATGGGTTTAATAAATATATTGATAGAATTGCATTAAAATATGTAGCCTAGGTGGAAATTGCACCAATGTTCTTAGACAAACTGTATTTTCAAAAATATAAATTGGAAACTTAATCTGAGCTGTTAAAATATATTGGGACACTAAAATACCCAACAGAAACATTTATTAAAAACACAAAATAACACAATATAAATTAGAAATACATTTGCTGTTTCTTTATGAAACAGTGAATATGTGAAATAAAACTTTTTTCAGCTTTTTTACCTGTATCAACAAAAATAGTACGTCTTGCAAAACAAATGTATATAAAATCGATTGAACTCATTTATATCCATAGATCGAACTTAGAATCATTTTGAAGCAGAATCTTTTAAATGAATTGCTCGAAAGAACCGAATCGCGAAAACGATGCAGACTTGCATTAGCTGAATGAGGGAAGTTGTGGATACCCGGATGCACACACACAAACTCATGTGACCAAACATCTGACCACTTAACTTAAACGCTGATCTCAGAACAGCTCTACACAATCATCTGAAAGGACGAAGCAACTGGAACATGACTTGAAATTAAAGATTCTGCACGTTTAATGTTATGTTGTTTGAAAGTTTGTACGTAAAATGTGCAGCAAGTAATTTTTCTGAATTATTAGGGATCAGCATTCGCCTATACAATATCTCCTACTTAAATTAAAGGCCTACTGTATGTTTTCCTCCATTAATTTAAAGGCACTAGCTTTTAAAGGGAAGCACTTTGTGTGTTTAGTGCAATAGACTATACTATAAATGGAGAGGCCTGACCAAATGATTCTGTTCACCAGAGGATTAATTATTGTAGCCTACATTTCCACATGAAGCATGAATAGATTTCTGTGAAGTCACTAAATTCTGTTGGCTGTACAATTAAATATTGATAAAATGTCTTCCAGCATAAACGCTCAGTCCATTATTTCTTCAAATGTGCCATTTATATGTTCCAGAGAACAGGATATGAAGTGAAATCCTCTTAATTCAGTGTTAGATGGCTAAAAGCATGCTGTGGTTAAAAATAGCAGCAACTAGGCTATTTGTTGATGACAAATTGTCTGTTGACAAGCTTAACAGACACACACACACAATTTATTTAATTTAAATAGAGAGATTCCACTGTCTTTTTAAACTGGTCTTCAAATGAACAACGTTGACTTAACTTGTTTGTTTTATACAAAAAATGTCCTCTGAATAATACATTGGTTTCTGTTAATTGCACGTTTAGTTGTATCTTAACAATTCAGACCAATCTGTTCCTATGGGGGTAAGTACTGAATATCTAACTCAATAAACAATTTATTTCCTCAATAAATGGATGCTACTGCGTCATCAGCACTGAAAGAGCAGGCTGGAGTCATCAGCTGATTGTGGATCTATTAGATGTATTATGAAGTGTTTACTGGTGAGTACTGAGCATTAACTTTATGGAAGCAGGAAATGAAAACTTAGTTAGTCAAAACTATAAATGCATTTACCAAATAGAATTTGTTCCCCCTTGTTTAACAAGACTAACCAAACATCTCTATGTCAGATATCTGTAGCTAAATGTCAACAATTCAGAAGCAACAAAATCTGTAACAATCAAATGTTACTTCTTAAAATGATTAAATGTTGAAATATAAACATTTGTGTTCAGATTGTTTTCTACAACAACACAATTATCTTGTTTGATCCACTTTTCTTCGGTTTAGTCCCTGAGTTATCAGGTGTCACTACTGCAGAATGAATCACCAATTACTATGCATATATGTTTTATGCAGTCGATGCTCTATTTTAACCACAATCCAAAATGCAGCAAATTAATAATAATTTCAAATATTTGTTTTGCAATTTAGAATATTTATGTTTATAAAATGATGATTTTCATTCTTAAGAAACATTTTATTATTATTATTATTATTATTATTATTATTACTATTATTATTACTATTATTATTACTTTTATTAAAGGATAACAGGCGACGCAGTGGCGCAGTAGGTAGTGCTGTCGCCTCACAGCAAGATGGTCGCTGGGTTGCTGGTTCGAGCTTCGGCTTGGTCAGTTGGTGTTTCTGTGTGGAGTTTGCATGTTCTCCCTGCGTTCGTGTGGGTTTCCTCCAGGTCCATCGGTTTCCCCCACAGTCCAGAGACATGCGGTGCAGGTAAATTGGGTAGGCTAAATTGTCTGTAGTGTATGAGTGTGTGTGAATAAGTGTGTGTGGATGTTTCCTAGAGATGGGTTGTGGCTGGAAGGGCATCCGCTGCGTAAAACGTGCTGGATAAGTTGGCTGTTCATTCCACTGTGGCAACCCCGGAATAATAAAGGGACTAAGCCAAAAAGAAAATGAATGAATGAATAAATTATAACATTAATAAAAATAATACCTTTTGTCCAATAAATACTGGAATTTCCCAAAACTGACAGAAAACTGTTATTACTAAAGCATTCCCATTCACCAAAAAAATCACACACACACACACACACACACACACACATATATATATATATATATATATATATATATATATATATATATATATATATATATATATATATATATATATATACAGATCATCAGACAGTATAAGTGTTACTGTACAAGTATTTTAATATGTTCCCTTAAAGATTTAGTTTCCCCCATTTAGTTTCAAAATACATTTATTATGATTTCTGTGTTGTTTTGCTCATGCTCCTATAGAATATTCACCACAAGGTAAATCATTACTACAATATAACTATATAAATTCTACATATTGCTCTTGTCCTGTGTTGATGAGTTGAGTGCATGTGTTTGTGTTGAGTTAAGTGGTTGTGCCAGGCACTATAGAGACCCCTCCTCCATCCTCTGATCAGGACCATGTGTCCCTCACCTCCCTCCTCAAGAAGCTGTATAAATCCAGGAGTCCTGTGAAGACCCTCAGCCTGGGACGTGAGCACTACAGGTAGGTAAAACATACATTCAGGTGTGTGTATTATTTATGTGAATCTGTTTTTTCTTCACTACACTCTTTTTTTCAGTGAATACATCCAGATCACACACAAAAAGTGTGGCTAAAGTTTATCTCTTTTTTTGAGTCTGAGTGATTATGATGCTGAACACAGTAATCTTCGGCTGGTTTTTGGTGAATGTTGTGGTGATGGCATCTCATCCACACCTGAGACGCAGAGAAAACTCATTCATTCTGACATCTGACACAGGTAAGTCTAGACCAACATTATTTTTCAGAAATGCTGCAGAGTGTATATTTTTCTAGTTTTTTTTTTTTTTTTTTTTAATGGTGCTGTCTTCAGTTATTATTAATTGTTTATTTTTATTTACAACAATCAAGTGTGATTTGATACAGTACAAATTGTCACACAAAGGGAAAGTTTTATTTGAATTTTATTCATTTTAACACTTTCTTGAACAAATTATAGTGTATATTATAGTGTATAAAGTAGGTTTTTTCCAAATGAAAAAGATAATTGGGCATTGTTCAATGGTTTTAGTAAATTTTAATAAACTTTTTTGATTCATTTCAAATGTTGACTGCTGTATGTAAAACGATTTTTCAGAGAGTGACATAATTTAAAGCAAGATACCATTTAAATTGAGAGTTGTTGTTACTATTTTCGTGGGTACATATGTTCAACACATCTTTCTTTAGGGCTTAAATTGTGAGTGAGATTATCTATTATATATGTTTTGATCATTATTTGATCATGATATAATTATAAAAGGTTGTAAACAACAATATCAGTACTGAACTGTGTGAATCCCATGTGGCATTACCTACAGAATGAATTTCAAATTGATATAATGGACTGATGTTGAACTCTTTTGTTTATGACACATGTTTTGTACATCATAGACTCACTGCCTGAAATGGAGCACCTTGAAATAAACTCAGCAGAAGAAAAGATACTAGAAGACCTTGAAGCCTATGATGAGGTGGTTTACTGGCATTTATCAAACACATTTAATATCAAACGACTTACAGATTGCAAAGCCAACATTTTATGTGAGCATTGTTTGTCTTGGAGGTTCAGATCTAGTCGAATATGGTATTAGTCTAATAAAAATAGTTTTATTCTTTTTTTCCCCTTAATTGAGTGCTAATCTGCATCTTGTGACCGTTTTAATTACTTTAAAAGGACAATTTACCCAAAATTCTAAATTTTATCATCACTTAAGTATAATTAATTTGTCACAATCTTATTTGAGTATTTTATTAATATTATTGACACAAAAGAAAATATTTCGAAACATTCTGAAAACCTGTATTGACTTCCATATTATTTGTTTGTCCGATAGAAGTCAATGATTACCGCTTTCTAACATTTTTCAAAGAAACTCATAAAGGTTTCAAACCACATGAGGTTATGTGAATAGTGATTGATTTTTTATTTTTATTTTAATCTCTTTAACCCCCCAATATATATATATATATATATATATATTGGCCTAAATACATTTTAATAATAAAAATATTGAAATAATAAGACTGATAAAATAAATAAATGCTAAATAAAATATGGCAAATAATACTACAGCTACACTAAAGATCTACTGTGCTAATCTACAACGGTGTCCTCTGTAAAGGTGAAATAATGTTGTTTTTCTTTTTGTTGCCATAACACAGGATCTGGGCAAAGCTGTCCACCTGCAGAGAAGAGGCACACGCTCCCCGAGCCGCTGTATCCCTCATCAACAGTCCTGTCTGGGTCATCATCTGCCCTGCTGCAACCCCTGCGACACCTGCTACTGCCGCTTCTTTAAGGCCTTCTGTTACTGCCGCAGCATGGACAACACCTGCAAAAACGAATATGCATAGAGACAAGTTCTGCCTTCAGATAGCAAATGGTAGCATTATATTTACAGTTTTAAGAGCTACTGAATGTATTTGTGGACAGTGCAATCATAAACTCGCACAGAGAATCCACAGAGAAGTTTTTTGTTATAATAGAGAAGCACAAAGCATAGAGTGCACCATTGGCTGCGGTTTTAAGGTGTAATTTAATTGCAATATTATTTACTCAAATGTTGTCTTAAATATTTTGTATATATGCATTCAATAAACTCTGATTATTGCAATTGTGTAGAGTATTAACTGAAAGAGCTATAAATGATGACAACATGCAGACACATTGGATTGTGAGAAATGTGCCTTAAATGCAATTAAATTATTATTAAGGGAATATATTATTAGGCAAAATAAAATAAAATATAATGCAGTGTGGTTAAAAAGAATAATGACAATTCAAATTAACACAGTGTTATTAAAATTAACTAGTATTATTAAACTGAGAAAAAATAGATTATTATTTGCTCTAAAAATGTATATATAGCATACTGTGTGCTTCTTTAATAGAAAATAATTGAATCATCCTAGTGAGAATGACTGGTGTGTATGAAAAAGCAGTGTCCACAAATGTGGGAGTGTTTGGTGTATTTTTTTTTAAGAGTCCCATGATGCATCTACATAAAAAAGAGTGTATGCAATGGGTGACCATTCTAGCTAAAATAATGTAACAATGTCGCTGACGCGCACCTCTCAAAAAATGTATGTCACAATGACACCAAAAGCTCTATAATTGGTTAGTTTGTTTGCGATGATGAGTGTGGGCAGAGGTAAGAGCCCCATGAGCCCGACGGAGCGATTGTTTACAAGTGTAGAGTCTCATGAAGGAGCTCCAGATGAAGACTGTTGTTTTGCGTTTACCTGTTGATTAAAGTTATTGCATGTCCACTGATTCCTGCCTCAAAATGAGTGAGTTTGAGCCACTTGTACATAGTGTTCAGAAAAAACAAAACACCAAGAAACTCAACACAGTGGAACATAAACACCTTCTGCCAGCTATTGTTTCGGAAGTGTCATTGCTCTGCAAATACAAACAGCGTTTAAAAGTATAAATGCACAGCTACGCGCATTGTATGCGCTGTGGGTCACGCCGATCACTCGACGCAGAAGTAAAAACCAGGCTTAACAGGATTGAACTTGTTCTCATGGGTGTGTTTTGAGAATAAACTAGACAGAGTCTCATCTCCCATTCCTTTTGAGAGTCAGTTGCGTTGTGCCATCGCGCATTTGCTATATACAAGGCGGACTGTGTAAGTGGAAAAACTGAATGCTTCACTAGCGAGAAAACAGTTAAACAGATCTGCAGCACAAGGATAAAGATTGAGCCTCCTCCATCGGCCTTTACTTTCACTTTCTCTTTCTTTCTTTCCTAAATAAGGAAATGGTGTTGTACACACAGACATCCATTGGCCTGGCAAAGACTTGTTTCAAAACTATTTCTAAGCTCAGTTCTAATTTTCAGCAAATGAATAAAAGAGTTATATCCAAAACACATGCTTTTCCCCATGTGGTCTAAAACCTGACAGGTGGACAAATCTAAGCTTGTTTTTCATTCATTTATTCATTTTCTTGTTGGCTTAGTCCCTTAATTAATCCAGGGTCGCCACAGCAGAATAAACCGCCAACTTATCCAGCAAATTTTTACGCAGCGGATGCCCTTCCAGCCACAACCCATCTCTGGGAAACATCCACACCCACATTTACACACACACTCATACACTACAGACAATTTAGCCAACCCAATTCACCTGTACCGCATGTCTTTGGACTGTGGGGGAAACCGGAGCACCCGGAGGAATGTGTAAGCGAGACCACAACTAACGCACTCTGTGCTGGACTTTAGACTTGCTTTCAGCTGGTCTATTGAGCACTCTATTTTAGTTCCTCAAAATAGCAACACACCAACAAAGCGCCTCAACACACTTCTTTTCTAGACCGAAACACAGATAAGTCCACAAAAGTGGCACAAAGGATTTGCTATTTAAACAACGTGGTGGAAAACAGGAAAATTACAATTGCGATGGACTGAAAATGGCAACATATCTGGGCAAACTCATCTTGGCGCCGGGTGTATGATAGGGGCCCATGTCGCAACGGTCCAAACCCCAAAACCAAAAAAATACGGGCAGCCAAACATTTTGTGGATATATTAATAGATTTTCTTTCTATGAAACAAGACAAATTTGATCTCAGAGACATTGTCACAAGACAGAACAACTGTCACAAAGCTCATTTCTGACCTTAACTCAGTTTTGACTAAATGTGTATTAGCTGCATTTTACCTTTAGATGGCAGAATAAGGTCATACAAATTTGTGCTTTTTTTAATCTGACATGAAAATGGTGTTGCACTTGATGTGATATTAGAATCACAAGCATATCTGTGGCCAAAGCTCTTATGAGTTCGTAATTTTGACAGCAAATGACTATTTAACACATTTGTAATATTGTTTAGGAAGACTTGACTCAGGTTGTTGGGTTATTCGTTCTTTGTTGATAGTATTTCTGTTGTTTTATTTCATTTAAGTTATCTTTTGATGTTCAGTGAATGAACCCCAGTTTTTTTTAAACACTTCACTTCATGATTGTTTACAGTTGAACAGTTTTACTTTTTACAAAGCATCATTTTACAAAAGCTGCAAGCATCACTGCATCACCTCTTATTGAAACCCTTATTTGAACAGTGCACAATAATTCCTAAAATTGGGGTACTAAGAATAAGATTTAGTTTGTCTATTTGAAATATGATCAATAAAATATATTTTCTAATATGCAACCTTTATAATAATTAATGCAATGAAACTAAATCAAAGGTCATGTCATATAAGTTTATTGATGACAGGATTCATTGCTGCTTTAGTTGGAAGCAATGGTCTGGTCAACCCAGGCACGGAGTTTGGTGACACGGGCGTAGACGGCAGGAGTGGAGGTGGAGCAAGTGCTGCTGCCCCAGGACACGATACCAACCAAAGTCCAAACTCTGTTGTTCTCACACACCAGAGGACCACCAGAGTCACCCTGGAAAACAAAGACAGTGTGTGAGCGAACAATCAAGCAGGCATTACAACAATAGTCAAATCTGTTCATCCGGGAGCTCACCATGCAAGAAGAGACACCAGAAGCTCCAGCGCAGATCATCAGATCAGTGATGTTGGTTCCCCAGTAACGCTTGCAGTCATCATTGGTCAGCAGAGGCAGAGCGGCCTGCTGGAGCAGGGCAGGAGTATCGGGAGCTGAAGGACAGATTGGCAGCATTTTAAAAGCTTTCCCCACACACACACACACACACACACACACACACACACACAGAAGACATTTCAGGATAGAGATCGAGCCTTCTTTATATCCAATAATACTTGCCATTGTATCTGGTCAGGCCCCATCCAGAGGTCACACACTTCATGCCACCAGGGAAGTTGTCGTTGGTCTCGGCGAGACACACAGGAGACACGTGAGTGTTGATCTTAGCAGGAGTGGCCAGCTTGATCAGCAGGATGTCATTGTTGATGGTGAAGCTGTTGTAGTTAGGATGCTTGATGGACTGTTGGGAAAAAGGTGCAGACACATTGGCGTTCAGATTTTTAAGTATCAATCTTTGAGAATGCTCTTCTCACTTTCTATCAAAATCCCACACATAGTTCAGGGTATGTTCATGCTTTTTACATTATTAAAATAAACACTCTTTACTGGCATAAGTGCTTCCAGGAAGAATCTTTAACATTCATGCAAACTTTCTATACCTCAAAAGATTCTTTAGATAGGAAAAGGATTATTTAGATCATTAAAATGCATCTATACTGAAAAATTAATGGTTCCTTTAAGAACTGCTGACTGAAAGGCTCTTCATAAAAATGATTTATCTATGGAATCACTGCAATTTTCTGTTTCTTTATTTCTTTATTTTTTAGAGTGCAACTAAGAATATGTCCTGCCACTGCTATATATTCAGTAAAAAGTAGATGTATACCTAATGAATGTGAGTGTGTCATCTTTATTGTGATACATGATCCACAATGTCATGGTAAGAAACAAACTAATGTGTCCTGTGAGACAGTTCTACTTACTGATGCAGTTAGATGAATTATTGAACCTGGCCACACACTTAAAAATTTAAAGGCTACATTTTGGCCCATTTTGCTCCACCAAGTGATCGGTCGCTGGTCTGGTTCTACACTTGTCACAAAAGGCTTGTTGTCCATAAAATCTTCAATTGAGTTACTGTTGTATTATATATTTTATGTACTGCTCCTGATAAAGTCAAAGCAATCATAATTATCAAAAAATCCTGTCTACTAAATGTGATGAGAATTATAAAAGGTCAGTTGAATCAATTTTTTCTATCTATAATTGTCATGTTGGCATTATAGGAGCCAAGCACTAAATTTGTTTTACTATTTATTTTAAATGTTGTATTTCTTTTTTGTTTGTTTGTTTTTTATTTTTCTTCTTAAATGGGAATATATGGCAGCCTCAGAAAAACTACACAGCTACAAATTAATAATTTTAAAGTTACTGAAAAAAACATTTAAGTTAAACATACTCTACATTTTTTGTAACCAACAACAAAATATTGCTGTGAATTAAAATCCTGTAGAAATACATGATTCTGTAGAATTCTGCAGGAAGAGACTCAATATAATAACAGATTTTAGACTGTACGCACCTTTCCAACGGCAATGGTCTGAATAGCCTCAGCATTGGATGAACGATCATGCTCGCCAAGGATAACGCGGTGAGAGGTTCTGTAAAAAGAATACATGATATAATGTAAATTGCATAGCCCAAAACTTTTAGCAGCACTATAGGCTGTATATAACAAGATATTAAATTTAAAACCACAAAATAATTCAAACTCACATGCATTCCCAAGTTTTCCCAATACATTGTTAGGTTCTAAGTTTATGTTGTAATGCTGTCTTACCTAACGTTGCAATGAGCAGCAGTCACAACCCAATTCTCATTGATCAGGGAGCCTCCGCAAAAGTGGAAGCCAGTGGAGTCCTGAAATAAATAAATGATAATGTGCTAAACTGATAAACGATTTTAAATCAACTGTTGCCAATATTCCGCTTTTACCTGCAGAGACACCTGCCAAGGCCAGGAATGAGGACGAGCCTCCTCACCATTCACAATCCTGGCGTAGCCGGTAACAACTGGAGGGATGGCAGGAACGCCACAGCCTGACAGAGCAAAAAATGACAGAAAAGCAATTTAAAAGATTTTTACATCCCT